CGGCCGGTTGGGTGGCTGGCAGGTGGAAGGGGTCAGGGAGCTGGCACCCCCCTAAGAACCAGCAGGGGTGACATGGTGACACCCAGCTCTGGGCATCCCAAGAGCCATCCCAGGCCCCTGGTGGCCAGGCAGAGCTGGTCCAGTGTGAGAGACCAAGCCCTGTCCTGAGCAGAGAGCAGGCAAGGCAGGCGCCTGGGCCCGAAGGGTTTGGGTGGCTGGCAGGTGGAAGGGGTCAGGGAGCTGGCACCCCCCTAAGAACCAGCAGGGGTGACATGGTGACACCCAGCTCTGGGCATCCCAAGAGCCATCCCAGGCCCCTGGTGGCCAGGCAGAGCTGGTCCAGTGTGAGAGACCAAGCCCTGTCCTGAGCAGAGAGCAGGCAAGGCAGGCGCCTGGGCCCGAAGGGTGGCTGGCTCGGAGCAGTGGAGAGCACTCCAGTGCCCAGGCTGCCTCACGCCTTCCACGCTGAGAGAGTCATTTCTTGCCTCCCCTCCATTGTTTGCTGTGGGCCTTTGCTATGTGCCGACATAATCACCGCGCAGGGAACGAGGGGCCACGGCCGACATAATCACCGCGCAGGGAACGAGGGGCCACGGCCGACATAATCACCGCGCAGGGAACGAGGGGCCACGGCCGACATAATCACCGCGCAGGGAACGAGGGGCCACGGCCGACATAATCACCGCGCAGGGAACGAGGGGCCACGGCCGACATAATCACCGCGCAGGGAACGAGGGGCCACGGCCGACATAATCACCGCGCAGGGAACGAGGGGCCACGGCCGACATAATCACCGCGCAGGGAACGAGGGGCCACGGCCGACATAATCACCGCGCAGGGAACGAGGGGCCACGGCCGACATAATCACCGCGCAGGGAACGAGGGGCCACGGCCGACATAATCACCGCGCAGGGAACGAGGGGCCACGGCCGACATAATCACCGCGCAGGGAACGAGGGGCCACGGCCGACATAATCACCGCGCAGGGAACGAGGGGCCACGGCCGACATAATCACCGCGCAGGGAACGAGGGGCCACGGCCGACATAATCACCGCGCAGGGAACGAGGGGCCACGGCCGACATAATCACCGCGCAGGGAACGAGGGGCCACGGCCGACATAATCACCGCGCAGGGAACGAGGGGCCACGGCCGACATAATCACCGCGCAGGGAACGAGGGGCCACGGCCGACATAATCACCGCGCAGGGAACGAGGGGCCACGGCCGACATAATCACCGCGCAGGGAACGAGGGGCCACGGCCGACATAATCACCGCGCAGGGAACGAGGGGCCACGGCCGACATAATCACCGCGCAGGGAACGAGGGGCCACGGCCGACATAATCACCGCGCAGGGAACGAGGGGCCACGGCCGACATAATCACCGCGCAGGGAACGAGGGGCCACGGCCGACATAATCACCGCGCAGGGAACGAGGGGCCACGGCCGACATAATCACCGCGCAGGGAACGAGGGGCCACGGCCGACATAATCACCGCGCAGGGAACGAGGGGCCACGGCCGACATAATCACCGCGCAGGGAACGAGGGGCCACGGCCGACATAATCACAGAGCAGGGAACGAGGGGCCACGGCCGATATAATCACAGCGCAGGGAAAAGGAGGCCTGTGCTGCTTGTCACGTGGATATGTGGGCTGGTGCTGCTTGGCACGTGGCTCCGTAGGCCAGTGCTGCTTCGTGCATGGTTCCCTGGCCAGTGCTGCTTGGCGGGTGG